TTTATCGTTTTGATCAGGATTTCCTCAATCACAGGTAACTGATGTAAAATTTTAGCATTTGCCGTTTATATATACCTGAATTTAGTTCATTAAGTCTTAAATCATATATAAACTATTAAAAGTTCATGTTAGGGCAATCTCATCAATTGTGAAAAGAAAATCTTCTAGAACACAACAACTTTCTGGTTAAAGAAATTAATCAATCAAATAAATGAGGTTTTATATACTCATATAAAATTGTAAACTTGTGATTAATAAATATGGCAAATTCAAGTGGTAATGTTACTTTCCAAAATACAGCTTCCGTCACTTGTTTACCTATAGGTTTTATGGGCATTATAACTAATTTTTTTCTCTTTATTATCCTGTTGACCAAAAAGTCTTTAAGGGATCATAGTTATAGAATTGTAGCTAGCGTTATCGCCAGCGACTTTTTCAGTTCTATTCAATTTGTATTTGTTTTTCTTGGTCCCTATTTTTTGGAATATTCGACATTTAACACAAGCCAGATTTATTGTAAATTTTTAATTTATTCCATGTATTCAACTTATAATGCTTCCGTCTTAAGCTTGACTGCTGTTAGTTTTTATCGATATAAATTGGTTTTTAAAGCTTCACAAATTCGATTTAAAGAGATAGAACTCCGTAAGATTAATAAATTACTGGCGATAATATGGGCTATTAGCTTTCTGTTTGCTATACCTATGATATTTTTTGTAAGGAGTAATTTTACCGTTACCAGCAACTGCGATATCAATTATATTCAAGGATATCCTCGCTTAACTTTTACTTACTTTCTTTGTACAGCTATAGTTATGTACGTTTTACCGTTAACTACTATGGTTTTCAATTATGTACGGTTAATTAGAAAGTTGAATGAGTATATATTGCCGTGGAATAACCGAATAGATAATGCTATTCGACGACGGGATCATGTTATAAGAATTTTGTTGGCTGTTACAAGTGCATTTATGCTCTTTAATTTTCCATTATTTATTTGCATTAATTTTATGGTCAGCAATGTTCAAACCTATTATATGCTTCGATTGAATAATTTTACTTTATATTTTATTTCTTTATTAACACTACCTATAACTGCATCTGTAAGTTTAATCAATCCAATAATCTTTATTACACTCGATAAGAACATTTCCAAGGCAGTTAAGCAGAGGCTAACTATTGATCTCTGCGGTATGATCCATTCCAATTTTACTTCATCTGGAAGAAATCTAAATGCAGTATTTATTCTCTCCAGCTAGATACTGTATTAGATTGCATAACGATACGAATGGCACTAGGTATTACTGCTTCATTCTTGCTAATATTTAAGAATTTTAGGATATGGTAATTTCCTGAAACTAATGTGAATTAATTCACAACTACGGTATTGATTTACTGATCTTGTCTCTACTCTATTAAATTCTCGAATGTAAAGCAACAATTGCGTCCTTGATCTGTTTAATATATTATTAAGCTATCGTATTATTGGTAAGAATAATATACTTAAATTTAATATAATTAATTTACACAATTTATTATTTTCGTGGAGCATTAATTAATATTGCTGTCGCAATAACGCTTACCCATTTTCAAATCTACGAATTAGTTATTAAAATACGATCGGAGATATTGTAAAATTGTACAGTGAATAGTTACCAGCTATGGAAATTTACAAACAACTCCTGGGTTAAGCTATAGTATACAGAAACGTATATTTTTCTGCATATCATTGGGTATTTCATAATGGTTTAGATACGTGTATTAGATCCTGAAGCTTCAATTTTTATTTTATCCTCTACAGGCCAGCTTAAATCTCTAAGTAAAGCATGTAATTAAATTACTAAGCTTTTGTAAGACAGTGGTTAGTTTTAGCTATTGAAAACAAGAACATATTCAATCATATAGCTTTGGAAAGTTCACTTTCGAGATTTCTGAAAGATTGCAGATCGAAATAGATATTCATTAGGGTGCTCAAGTCAACCATGTAATGAAAATTTAGAGTCGTTCATATCGCTCCTACTCAACAATGATTATCTATTAGGCCTGCATACGTTAGGAGACAGTATCACATGATGCATTTGGAGTGTGTATTAATTATTCTAATTTTTATGGTAGTATTTACATTATTCAGGTAGATAATTGCAATTAAGATTGTTTAATTAACCTCCATTAGGCAAACTTTGTTAGAAAGCATATGGTTAAAACAATCAATTTTGTTATTTATTATCAGAAGTACAGCAAAATCTGTGTAAGCATTTATACTTTTGGAAAGTGTATCATGGTCACAAATTATTATCTTTAATACTGCAATATGGTGGCAAATCATATGACCAGCCGATATTTCATTGAGTTCAGCAGTTTTCCCTCAACTTCAGCAAATACCTTTAATTGGTGAATTGACGTTACCATAAAGCTGAATTTTATTTCACATTTGGTTTGTATTTGCAAGCAGTTTTCACTCGCACGTTTTAAAGACATGGCACCATTATTTCTTTTAACTAAACGGTATATTTTTCAGGTTATTGTTTACACTATTGCTGTTGTTATTGGAATTTTAGGTAATTCCTTGGTTATATTAGTAATTACTAGATATAAGAAATTACAGTCGCCTATCAATCTTTTAATTACAGTCTCAGCTGCTTCAGGCTTAATTTTATCAGTCCTACATATTCCATTACTCGTATCAGGTTTACTATATCCCAGCACTAACTCCTTATCAGGTCAAAGTGTTGAATTTTGTCAGGTTCTGGTCACTTTTTATCTGACTTGCCTAATGTATACACCTCTGACATTGCTTATTGTATGTATATATCGATTGGCTGATATCTACTTTCATTTTAAGCTGCATCGCATGATAACCAAGAAAAGCGCGACTATTTTGTTTCTAGCAAGTTGGATGATATTCTTATCTTTCTCAATAATCCATTTTCATACTGTAATAACTGAGTCAATTAATCAAAATGGAAGTTGCATATTAATTTATCCTCTGCCACTATTTGATATTGACACTGAAGACTCTAACAGAAAGCTAGTGCATCATATTATGATAGCTATCTTTGCTCAGAGAATTAATGGTTTAATACTGGCAATAGTTTCAGTTTTACTGCTGGTTATTATTATGTATGGTGTTATAATTGAGCAAGTTTTGATTAATAGATTATCGAAAGACGAATCGAATAACTATCGGATAGAAAACGAAAGGAATGGAATGAAGCGAAGTCGACAGATATTGCGATTACTTTATACCTGCACTATTATGCTTACGATATTAGTGATTCCACTAAATTGCCTGCTTATGATGATTATGATTGGCTATATCAATTTACAAAGTTCTACCTCCATTCTGTTCTGAAATGGCTATCTCTGCTAATTTATATCGCGGTGGTCTATAATCCCATTTTATACGGCTATTTCAACTCTGGCATCAGATATAGAGCAGCTGAGGTCTTTCATGTTCGCGTCAATCTTTCTTAATATATGAACATTGAGGAACTTATAACATCATTACGTGCAAATATAATTGTGAAATAGATAGGATTTTAAACTTTTCTAGTGTAGATTTCTTAGACTGGAAATATATCTTAGACCTATGAAATACCATACTGACGAAATTCTTTTATTAACTGGAAACTGTAGCCAACAAGAAATTTTTATCTTTCAAATATGAAAATTGAAATTAGAGTTCTATTAAGTAGGAATATAGTTTGATTTAATATAGTTTGCATGAATTTTATAATAGTCAAACATCAATATGGTTTTATTATTTGGTTACCATAATGGTTATCGATTTGCTTTACAAAAGAGTGAAGTATTCTGGCAATAGACCTTCTGATGCACTTAAGATAACATTTATAATATTAAAAATATCGTTTGCTATTTGAGGACTATGCCTGAACTGCCATTATTATGGGTTCAAATAAAAAGTATTTGTATCATACAATGTAAAATCCATCTATTATCAAATAAATTATAGCTATTTAATCTAAAGTCTCTCGTCATCTTTTCCACTGTTATGAAAGTGGATATGCTTCGCACAAACTAAAATCTGTTTCGTATTACAACTAGTATATTACTAGGGTCCTAAATTGAATCACCTTTATTAGAATTCCGACGTATGACAAAATTTTAGTAAATTTAAAGATTTCTTTTTATGATACGTACTAGCAAGCTTAGTTTCATAATTTATACATAACTGTAAATATTACTTATGTACCAGAATAATGTTAGGCTGCATTACATCCTATGAGAAACGTTATTTATTCAAATGTCAGTTAGCCTGCATTATGAGTCAGCTATTCTCAATCATTTCATTGATATCATCTTGAATACGGATTTAAAAATCATTGATCTTGCTATTTAAAATTTATGTAGTGTATAAAATGTTAGAACCATAAGAAGATTTCTACGATTAAATTTTATTATTGCATTGACCCAATTTATATAAAATACAGCTAGATATGATTGTAGATTTCATGATTTACGGTGTACATGTTGTAAGCTTTTAAGGAAAAACAGGTACTAATTCGATATTAAGATTATAGTTTGTGGACAAATCGTCTCATATTTCTCCTATAACTAATATATCACCAGGTATTGTGATGCCGTAATTGTAAGAACTTCCAGCTATCAGATAACTGCAATATTATTATATTCTACTTAAGACATTATTTGTCCATACATGTACACGTCCGAAGCTTGAAAATTCGAAATACTTTAGATCATGCGTATACGATGACTTTATGTTACTATGGTGACAGACGGCTTCCTAACAAAGTCTTTTGTATTGTTACATTATTATTCGTTATACTTTAGTTAAGATGATATCGTTTAGCAACTCGTTTAGAATTCTTTTAGAGTTTTATCTTTAAAAATATTTCGATCGCATCGAAGTAGCGTTTACAAACTTAATTATTTCCCACTAAATATAAATCTTTTGAAATTAAGTTCGTTTAGAATAATTCGTTGCAACACTTTATTGATTAAATAGAAGACAAGCAGTTATGGCTGAACGTAAATATGATATGTTACTATTCAAGAATGATCCAGATAAGAAAAAATTACAGCAAACATGGTAAGAATTTAATAGATGGATTATTATTGGTAAACGAATGTCACAGTTTTAAGATTTATAGTATATACAGTAAAATTATGTAGGTAATATACAATCAAATAATAGTCAATAATAGTATGCTAGTGATTTTACTGGCTTACCTAATAGCTAAATTTGTATAAGTAAATGTAGTTGTTGTAAAAATATTAAACAAAAATTTGTAATTAATTAAAACTCAGCATAGAATTACTATCATACCAGTAGAGTATCTTAATCGATATCATACATACCTACAATACTACAATCTTATGCTTAACTTACATCCAAATCAAAGACCGTACCTTAAAATATGTTGACGCAGATTATTTTATATAAATAATCCAGGTACAAGGAAAGATTGAGAACAAAGTATATTACCGATATTAAAAAAGAACGTTCAGTAGTCTTAAATGCAAAGTCTTGGACATTTGTTAAGCATGGTGTAGACGATTTCAGAACAGGAATGCCTTCAGTTGAAAGTACTGAATGCGTAACCAAGGTAAAACTCTAAAAATCTCGAAGTAAAGATTAGCAGTTAATCGTACAGATCTTATAATTCACCTTTTAGCCCTTTGCTCCCTGAAACTTTTGCAAGCATAAAATCATGGCCTCTCGATGCTAAATCAATATCGATAATAATTCTTGTAGGGTATTAAGGGAGTTTACTCTCCTAACATATATAAAAGCGGAGAAGAAGAGAAACCCCAACCCAAGAAATCTTACCGTAAAAAATTAAATAAAATAGATGTTGCCTATTCCAGGTAAAACTCCTAAAAATATGCCAAGCAAATATGAGATTTTTTCCTTAGCCTTAACGCATTTGTGCTACTTGATAACTTTTGCAAAGCTGCCGTAACATGATTGTTTTAAGAAAACCTTTCTAGAAATGAGCTTATATTAGTTTATCTATGTCGTTGTACATATTATTAATGAATAAGTGGATAGTTTTATATTACAGTATTATGTAAGTGCTGATAACTAATGTTGTCCTAACTATACAATAAATTGACTGAATTTTCTATAAAGTTCGAGTTAAGCTTTGTGTAGGAAAGACTAGGTATGTTACCGTTCTTCCTAACGATAAGAGACTGTCAGTATTTAGTGCCATAACATAGTCAGATATCGGAGAGTACAAACCTAATATTAGCCTTGTGGTATTTAGTTCTCTATGATAATGTTTTTGCGTTATAAATTTAGAATTGTAACCTTCTCTTATAAAGTATTTATTACAACGAGTTAGATCGTTGCCCGGGCATAAACATAGAAAAGATTTTGTCGATGATTACGAATATGACCTTACGCAACATCCATTAGCATTATATCCTCACTTGGAAGAATGCATGCCGCCTGATGTAAGTTAATAGCCTGAAAATATATAAATGTAAGATCGTTGCTATATTATTCCATTACTAGATCGTTTGATTAATCTACGCATTTATACAGGTTTTCGAAGACGTTGTCGACGTATTAGATCCTGAACTTAATATAGAAGCAGAGGCTGAAGATGTAATGAATCAATTTATAACTTTAACGTTTGTTTAATCTCATTTTTGTAAAATTTTGTAAATCAACGCTAGCTAACCATTGACACTGATCTCGTAGGAGTATGATGACAGTGACTCTAATTATTTGAGCCCATCCGAAAGCAAAATAGAAATCGGAGATAAAAATATTGAAACCCTTCAGGTATTAATAATTTCGTTGGTCGTTCTTATATAATAATTTAAGAAGCTTTCATCAACTAGTTCAAGCGATGAAAGACTATGATATTAGTTACCTTAATAAAGATTTATTTATTGCATTTTAGATTCCTGTCATCACTAAAGAGCAATCCTCAAATCAGAATGATGCTATATTAGACGATAGAGATAAACTAGAAGACAACAAGACTGTTAAACGCCAAACATATCGATGGATTAGCAAAAAAGAGGACGTCAATGTCACTGAAGATGATAATAATAATCGAACTACCTTAATTGATTTACCCGAAGAAGGACAGGTTACACTTTAATTCTTCATGTGGGATAAAATATTTTTAGTAATGCTTTAAGCTGAAAATAGAGTAGACCAATAATTCATCAAGTATTTAACTATATTACTTAAATTCTAGGAAGCCAAAATTAAACATGTTACTCGTGATTTTTGCGGTTGGGTGTCATCACTGGTTAGTAATAGAAAATAATGTAAACTAATGATAATTTCTAATACCGTACATGTATATCAGAACTAAAGGAATAGCCTGCAATGTTTTCGATTTTAACTATTAGGGAGGTGAAAGCAATAATATCGAAGAAGCAACTATATTCAGTTTATTTGCGAGTGGTTACGAAACGAAGGTTACTACAAGTTGCAGTCTTTATAGAAGAAATTTAAATATAAAATCGTAAAGAAATTCCTATTAATTATAATGTTATTTTAATTGCTGTTAGCCTGCACTTTCAGTTCCAATCCATGTGGTTGAGTTAACTAATGTCCCACCTGAATTAAGATCGTCAGCTAATGTAGCAAATATAACCAATGAAACTAGAGGAGCTTTAATTCGCACACCTCCTAAGGTAAAATATTATCCGTGATACAGTATCTAAATTACCATTAAAATGTTAATTCTCAACCTCTGATTCACGAGTCGAAATGATCAATAACGTATATACTCTTTCGATTATCCTATGAAGCGAACAAAATCAAATTCTGCTAATAAATACTTTGGTGCCTGGTATTTACCGACTAAATTATGGAAATCTAGAAGGAAAGGAGAGGTATTAGAACTAAATATGAGCATTCACATAGACTTTAAAATAAATACAGAATCAGGTTTATTGATGTCATTCTCCATATATAGGTACTAGAAGATCCTCAGAGGATAAAAGCTAAAGCAACATCTGAAACTAAAGGAAAAAGTAGAGAATTGGTACGTATAATAGGACAGTAATTTTTTTTTATTTTTTAAAATCTGCGCTAGTTATGTAAAGATGAATTGCGCATACGAAAGATTGCTTGAAATTCAATTTTTTAATATCTCTTAATGCTGCTCTATTATTTTCTATAATGTTATGGTAGGATAATGAATTAGCAGTTATGCACGGTGCTAAAGCATTTCGAGAGTTTATTGACAAGAAAAGCACAAGACTTCCGGAAGTAAGTTTATCTATTTCAAATTCTACCTAGTTCTTGAATGAATAATAACTTCCCTAATAGTATAAATTATGTGAAATTGTCTAAAACTGTAAACACTATAGTCCGTTTGAAAAGTTGTCAAATTCTTCTTTTAAGAAAATGTAATTTTTAGTTTTTAGATAGCGTTGTGGTTCATAAAGAACCTTATGATCGAGATAATACGCTAAGTAAGCTAGGTGGAGAGATCTCAAGGACTGTCTCTGCACGTAAGTTAATACATTTTGTAATATTAAAAGTTAATGCTCTTTCTATGTTGTGTTAAGATGTACGACGTGTGTAATAATATTGGCAATAATCTACTCCTATATATTATTGGATCCCAATGCTAAAATATATTAATGTAAAGTTAATCGTACAATATACAAATTGTACAAGAAATTATAATAATGAATGCTTTTCATTATCAGATCCTAATGAAGATAAACAGTAACCAATACCTGGATAGAATCGATAATAATCGTTTTGGACATATTCGGATATAACATAATGTGAATATGGTATATTGATTTTTAATAAAAAGATATTATTAGCTTAGATGCAGCTTTATACGCCTATATTTTAATAATTTTATTTTCTATTGGACTAAGAAAACAAATTTTATTTACAATTCTGATTTAAAATAATACTAATTATTTAAAACAGTCATTCATTGCTTACATTTTATGTCACTCTAAAAACAATAAAATCTTTAACTGTGTTACTTAATCAAATGTGCAAGGTTAAGTTAAATGTTTAAAGACGTATGATACCGGAATAACTTAGATACATGTATTTGTTAAAAAATTTTTCACGGTTTGAAAACCCCATTAATTAGACAAGAATTCACATTTTATGACGCTTTATCATATTTAAATTAATCAAATGCTTTTTTTCAAAGTTAAATGTTTGATGAACTTGAATCATTATCTACTACGGATTGTATTTTTTAAGGTTATAATTGTTCACGAATACTAACACTCGACCTAGTCTTCGCCAAAAAATATCGGTAGGCCATTCGAGTTGATATTCCAAAGTTATAAGTAAAACATTAATATAAATTACAGCTAAGATTGATTTCAGCTAAAATTGGCAAAATTTGTCAGTCAGCATCAGTTAAGCTCAACTTAAGGGTTAGTCCTTGACTAATACCAGAATCGCTACTTCTTATTCAACATTTACTTATATAGCGATCCAATTCACCAAGTGCGCTACGGTTTATGAGCAACGCATACAATACAAGTATACATCGTGGGATCGTCGCGTGATACCGTAACTGTGATGTTTCAGAAGGTTGAAAGTTCGGCATTAGTTGCAATAAAGTACAATAGAATAGTTAATAGAAGAGTAACCCTTATTGAGCTAAAGTAAGAGAATAATCGTGTAAGATTACGGTGCCGGTAACGACGTTACTAGTCGAATAACTATAGTAGTGTAGAATAGGTAAAGCTTGCAAGCTTACCGTGCAACTACCAGACTAGCGAGCGAGATAGACGAAAGAAGATAGCTTTTATAATGCTAGGAGCACAGCAGGAGGAAATTATTTATAGGCGCAAATGATTCATGAAAATAGGTTACTTCTGTGTTAAGCTAGTGCTACGGTATAAGTTAGCTAGAGTACAAGATATTTCCACAGAGTTAATTGTTAAAAATAGATCATACATATTTAGAGATCTGTTACAGTCTTAGAATTATGCTACAGTCTAGTGAAAACTAATACTTTTACTAAAGATAGACTATACCGTATTTAGAAGTAAACACTACAGTAACAGTACATGTATGCAATCCTAACAGAATCTAAACTAAAAAGCCTATTAATGAAACTTTGTCATAATGTTAGTTAGTAATAATTTATATATTGTGCATTATTACTGCTGATAATTATAATGAGACCGTAGGTTAAATGGACACCAAGAACGTATAAAAATAGAATGAACGACACATACAATTAAAGCTGCTGCAATGATATCGACAGCGTAATGATGTAATGAATATAATGCAGCCCAACTAATCCAAGTAATATAAAATAAAGTGCAGCCAAAGCTTTTAATCGGATATATAAATAATATCACTACCGGCCACGCAACATGTAAAGATGGCATAGCGCCAAAGGTAATAGTTGCTGTCGAATATATGCGATGAAACGTAGTTATACCGAGGAGATCATCCACTCGACTTAATGCGGCTTCATTTGCAGCTATTAATAGCACATTAGCGTTTTTCGAGTTGTGAGTTTCAACAAACCAAGGAGGTGCGGTAGGATACATGAACTGTATTGTAAAAGCAAACATATTCACCCAACCACCACACCATATTAGTTTTAATATCACTGTAATTCTTTTTTCCCCGGCTGTAGCATAAATATAGAAAGAAGAAATTATAGGTAAAATAAAGTGGAGAATGTAAGGCACGGCTGCTGTGATATCAAGTAATGGATGAGCTATCGAAGAAATCCATTTATGAGGTAAGAGGCCAAAGAGTTCTTTATCCATAGTCGGAAGAAGGGATATATCCGGCTCTAATGGAAATACTGTGCTACATAGTTCTTTCAGCTGATGATAGTTAGTATAGCAGTAGATATACAAAACAGATGGCAAGCAAGCTAGCACAGCAGTAAGCATGAGTTGAATATCTTCCTTCATTTTGAGCCAATGATGACATAGAGTCAGCTGATTATCTTTAATCAAGTCTGTCTAAAATAAGTTAATATAGAGTTTGCTATAAGTTCATAGAACATCTATGCAACAAAAACTGTATATAGGTTAACAAGGTCAATCAAACGGAATTTCGTTAGTTCAAATATTGAACAATTATGCTTATAATATACTTATTAAGCAATGGTCTAAAAATGAAATTTTTTAACTCATTGTTGTAAGACATAATTAGCAGCCGGAAGACTTATTTTACTGCAGAGAACTACATTAAAACGAACCAACTATCGTCAGGAGGAACAGTAACACCTTTAATTTCTTTTAGACAAAACTGAACCTCTATTTTATTTAAATATCATCTAATTTATAATCAAACTATATAGACATCAATTATCAGTTTTATAGGTAATTATTATACAACTATGTAGTTATCTATTAAAGATATGTCAAAGGTCGTTGATAAATTAATATATTAACGCATTCCTAGACAAGTTACAAATACCATATGGAAACGATATTACGACAGCTATGTAAAAATAACCGTAACATCCAAATAGTAATCTAATATACATTAGTTTCAAAAGGGTATAGTAAGATTAAGAAAAAAGAGTCTCTACCTGATAGAAACGATTGGACTGATTTTGCTTCGGATTTTTCTTTTCTTTATATACCTGATGACTCTGATAAATTCGTCTAACAAGAACAGGAGAATAATAAACAGAATTATCGTTATCTGCTTGTTAAAGTTAATCTACATGATCGTTATCCCTTTCAATTTATCTATCATTGGAGATTACTTTCAGCAATAGTCTGTCATTGCACTTTTCTTGGTATTCATTAAGTAACGATATATATATACATCACTAACAAGGAATACTATTCTGATAATAGCAAACCATACCATACGTATTTCAGGATAAGATTTAGGTTTACTTACTTGTCTTCGCAGAGAAGTAACGAAGCCATTCTAAAGTAGGAAATTTTCTACTGGATAAAATTCTTCTTTTATACTGCACGTTAGCGTGAATAATACAGTTATCAGAAGAGTAAGATAAAGCAAGAAATTGTTTCTCAATTATATATCTATATATATGTTATATATATATTTGTATTATTACTAAATATATATATATAATATATTACTCGCTTTCTATATCGTAACGCCAATTTTCATCCGCATGCATCAGCCTTTTAGCTCCAATACTAGATTTTCTCCTTACAGCCAGTGCAAGAATTGAGAACGCAGTTGAACAAATAAAAGTAGAAGTTTAAGCCTGCGCACAGTCTTTTATACTATACTTTTCGAGAAAGGACATTTTTCTGTGCAGTTTGTAATCGTCATCACAATTGAATTGAATAACGACGATAAATGATTACTGCAAACTGAGTATACAACTACTATAAAATTATGGAGAGTTTTAGATGTCTTTTCTTTTGTTTTTGGAGCAATTTTAATGTATGATATCCGCTTTTATGACCTTTTGTTTCAGACAAACTCTAAATAACAGTCTGCTATTCCATTGTTGTCTTTATAAGGATACCATTCGGTATTGTAGTTGTTGGTGCGGAGATTTACATCGGAAGAGGAATCTATATGCAGTACTAAGATGGATTGGATACCTTGTGAGATGATTGTATCACGACGATTGGATGTTATTATTTTCAAATAAAGTTTTGGAAGTAAATGCTTTGACAATGGATTACCTACGCGAAAGGAGTAGAGTAGCTATTGCATTGTCTTCCTGCAACTTCTGCGCTCAGCATGATGGGATGTGCAACGATGATTGAATAACAAGCGCTGGCAATGACCACAGGATTTTAAACCATACCTGCTGTAATCAAAAGGATTTTTGTAGTACCTTTAATTTTAGGCGTAAAAGTGTTTCGAGAATACTGCATTCGTCTATTTCACGTTACATTGCATTCAAGCAAGAAAGCAATGACAATTTGAGAACCGATCGGTCGCTTTGGATACAGGAGGACCGTTAGTATACTTGCTTTACAGTATAAAAGTGCCCTGACATCATCCATCAACGATGCTTTAATAGACAACACACTAAAACGTGTACCTATTGATGCTCGAACAGTTTGCGATTTCAAGATATGGCATCGCTATCACCAAGGTAGTATATGACTAAGCCACTGAAACGCTGAAACCTCATCGAGTATTAACAAGATAAAGCATTGTAGACATTTGCTTTTCGATTTTTGAACGATACTGATCATTAGTCAATGTTTCAGTTTATGCTGAAGGCGGTGTCACGGACTACTTCTTGATAAGTATACTAGTCTAACGTAATGCACTTACTTTGAGTTGCTTCTACACATTACTATCTTAATCTGTTGAAAGATGTAGTAAGAACATAATACTGCTACTATAACGCCTAAAAAGCACCCTTGTAAAAAGTGGACAACCGGTCGACCTGCTGTACCACAATCTATAAAATAGCTTTCTACTATAACACCGAAACACTGTCAGCTACAATCATTTCTTCAACTCTATCATGACGGCAACTTCGTGCAGTAAGATGTGGAAAACTGTGCTTCGAAGATGCTACGCGGCAAACAGTGGCGGAGGACAAGCAACAGTCCTAGCCAACCGCTTTCCCTCATCTGCCTCGCTGATCATCTTCAAGTTGCCTATACCAAAAGCGTGTTGTTGAACCTTGGATCAAGCTTAGGAACGCTTGCTCTGGTGTCTCAGACGGACAGACTCATTTTGATACCAAATGAGTCGATTTGAGTGTACAGTCCTGTACAGTTAGTACAGTACGGTACAGTGAGTAGTGGACTGTCGTCCACAATACAGGGTGCCGACTGCCGAGTCAACTACGGAATGGAACGGAACGCGGATGCGCACTTCAGCTTCTGGCGGAATGCGCCTGCGTACTTCGGCATTCCGTCAAAGCGTGTAAAATAGAGAACATGGTACTGTACGTACTGTACTCCGTGTACAGTACTGTACTGTACTGTACTGTACAGTACTATACAATATACAGTACATAGTACTGTACGTATTAGTACGTCCGCATGTCCGTCGTACAGTACAGTACAAGAAATAATTGAATATTGATAATAATAATAATAATGATAATAACTCTATTGTTATTATTGACAATACAGTACAGTACTGTACAGTACAACTCTACAATCTGCCGTACTGTACAGTATTTGCCAGATTCTGATTGAGAGTTGTACTGTACTGTACTGTACAGTACTGTACTGTACAGTACAGTACAGTACACAAAACACTGTACAGTACATGTACTGTAAACTTGTACAGTACTGCACCGTACGAACCTTCAGTACGGTTGTTCATAGCCATTACAATACTGTGTGTTAGTGTGAACTCTACAGTCAAGAACACACAATGTACAGTACGTAACAGTGTACTGTACACTGTACTGTCAGTACGGTAGCAAACAAAGACAAAAGTTGGTGAACGTCAAACGCAAATGACGGATAATCCAAATCATACCAATCAATTGGAGCCATTTCGATGGTACAGTAGGATGTACGGATGGACGTCGGCGTGAGTATCGATCTCCTACAGCACCTTGATGACGTCAAGAGGTCAAAAGACCGTCATGTGAGCGTTGGTGCTCGTCTTGTGATCGTGGTGCAGCAGTGTCACTGCACTTTGGCCGTGACGCATACTGCTTATATAAACTGCAACGCCTCGGTTGGTTGATAACAGCTCCCTCGGTCCTGGCCATCAGCTTGCTTCGTTGTCACGACTACTTTTGCAAAACCAGTGCTAGGTAAGTGATATTGGATTGAAAGTAGATTCTACTGTACAACGGATTTAAAATTGAAACGGTTGTAAAGGATACTCTTGTATCCAAGTGTAGAAATTCTCTTGCTGATTGCTTTTTTGTCGTTGCAACAGAACCATACCATGACTTCAATGCTGCCTATTTTAGCTTGCTTTGCCTTTTTGGCCTTTGTCACGCAAGCGTTTCCTGGAAACCAGGATATCGTCCATCATTTACCTGGACTGCCAAATCAGCCCAGTTTTAAGCATTATTCTGGCTACTTGAATGGATTAAAAACCAACAAATTGCATTATTGGTTTGTCGAAGCAGTCAAGAATCCATCCGATGCTCCGTTACTGTTATGGTTGAACGGTGGACCAGGTTGCAGCTCATTGGATGGTTTCCTCTCCGAACATGGACCTTTCGCTGTCAAGCCTGACGGCAAAACGTTATACTATCGCCCAACTTCATGGAATAAATTTGCTAATGTCTTGTATTTAGAATCACCATCTGGTGTTGGCTTTTCTTATAATAGCAACAAAGATTACATTTGGGATGATGATAGTGTTGCTATGAATAATTTCGTTGCCTTGAAGGACTTTTTCAGGCGATTTCCACAATTTGTCAAGAATGATTTTTTTATCACTGGTGAAAGTTATGGAGGCATTTACGTTCCTACATTGACCCTTTTAGCCAAAAATGATTCATCCATGAACTTGAAAGGATTTGCTGTTGGTAATGGTATGAGTAGTTATAGACTCAATGATGACTCGTTGATCTATTTTGGATACTATCATGGTCTATTTGGTACTGGACTATGGAAAATTTTACATCGTGATTGTTGCACTAATGGCGTATGCAATTTCCATAATCCTACCAGTATGAAATGTGTAGAAGCCGTGAATGAGGCCATGGGTTTCATTAACAACGATTTGGATGTTTACAATGTCTATGCAGACTGTTACCATAGTACATCGAAAAGTATCCGTCTTCGAGTCGCTTTGTCAAACCTTTTCAGACACTATAAAAAATTTCACCAGCGTCTTCAAGCAGTGAATGGAGGCTTGCCATGTGTGAACACTACTGCTGAAACGGTTTATTTCAACAGTATGAACGTCAAAAAAGCTCTACATATTCCGTCAGGTTTGCCTCCATGGTCCATCTGTAACTTGAAGATCAATGTTCAATATCATCGAACTTATCAACATACCATTACTATTTACCCCAAGTTGATTACCAGCCTGAGAGGTTTATTGTATAACGGTGACATTGATATGGCCTGCAACTTTTTAATGGAAGAATGGTCTATCGATTCGCTCAATTTAACTGTGACTAAGCCACGCCAAGCTTGGTACTATAATGATTTTGATGGTAAACAAGTTGGTGGTTATGTCATACGCTATAAGAATTTCGATTATGCCACTGTTCGTGGATCTGGTCATATGGCACCTCAAGATAAACCTGTACCCACATTCCAGTTACTGAAAAATTTCATCTTTAATAAGCCCTACAGTAATCCTAATGAGCCTTAAATAGTATTTTTTCCCATTTTTCGAATCGATAGTAAATTCAGTGTTGTAATTCTAGTGTTACTAAGTAATTTTCAAATAATTTTTTTGAAAACCGATCTATCATCCATGTTGTGCTTGTAAAAAGTTCAATGTGCATTGATACTTGCAAACAAATGCATCTTTATATAATAAGTAGTATATATATACGATTATACATATGTAGAAATGTAAAATAGCCGATGCCTTAACCATTTATTATCAAGTTGTATTTCTGGTTATCACGACTTCAAGATGGTGAACTACTTGCTCATTGTTAAGGATCAATTAATAAATTGAAAAATTTTATCTAGACTGTATAGAAAAGATTCATCGTTACAATGACTATACTCAATTTAAATGTATGTCATGATTTTATTTGAGGTGTTTAATAAATTTTTATACTTTTTATACAGCCATATAGTTGTACAGAATTGATCGATGAATGCATGCCATTGGTATTTTATTTCTAATCCGGTTAATGTGCATTGCAGCGATATTGTATTCTACTCACATAGGGTATTTGATCTATTTATTTACTTACATTAATTTGACGGGTGTAGTGCTAAACACTATATGTAATTTGCAGTGATTTGTATAGTACAGTAGAAAGCGTTATAGTAGCCAACTTTAATCCCGAGCTATCAATTCTGATTTTCACTCTTAATATACTGTATTTCCCTTGCACCAAGTGAGCATCCAAGCGCTGTGGTTTTGTTTACTATTACTAATTACGACAGCAAAAGAATCATAGTCATTAGCCAATCGGCAATTACATTCACTACAGTATGTTTCATTTCTTTTCTAAATGATGCATATCTGATATTAAAAATTGCTTCTATTCATGACAAGATTTCTGAACCTACAATTACTTCAAAAGGAATCAATATCGTAGCTACAATAATGGAATCTACCCGAAATTGTCCAATATTTGGTACGCCGAAGGAGCTGGATAATTATGTTCTACCGAAGATAGAAGATGTTGTCCGATTTTATGATTACATCAAAACTAATGGCAACAAAGCTAAAATAGTTGATATCGAAAACGGTTGCCAGCATGACATTATTAAATATGTAGCGGAACAAGTTGCAGCAGCATGGATACTAGCTTCTATCCCAATCATACCTCATAAAGAAGTAGTAGAAAGAGTTAGCATGTATATTAAGGAACGACAGATTTTAGTATTAGTACCCAATGCCGATCAAAATAATCTCATATATCAGCGGAAGATAGATCAATTCTGGAATAATTCGCAAAAGCTGTTTGATATATGCACTTGCCAATGTCTATCAGAAATGGTATGCCAACATAGAAATAATCAGCGCGTTTCAAAAAAGCGAAAAGATTTTCTGTTGGATCAGCGTACAGATCGTAAATTAACCGATGATAGAATTCAATACAAAAATGGCAAAGTTATGCGTCCTGGTGAAATACGAAAGCGACGTAATGTTTCGAATGAAATTATGTGTATACTAAGCTCTAATTTTGAACAATTGCGTCAATCGGCTTCTGAAAAAAATGATAGGAAATCTTATAAATCCGATAGTTGCTATACTGACTGTGTTAAAAGAAAAGGGTACCATCTACGTCGGCATGCAGCTCGACGCCAAGCAAAGCTCATCAAATTACATAAGAAATTACTTAATTCAGATAGCGAAAACTATCAGGCTAATGAAAAAAAGCTCAATCCTGATTTTTTAGGATCAAGCGATGTATCCAGTAAAGGCGGTATGAAAATAGATGATTCAGACGTAAATGCATCGGAAGATACTTGGCATCCTTCTCCTAAAGGTAAGTTAGGAGCTAATAAATTACGGGCCTCACCTTTTGCAGGCGCTGTCATAGTAAATCAGTTACGAATTCCTTTGCCAGCATTAGCTCGAGAATGTGAACGTTATAATATATCAGACCGTAAAGGCGCTGCTATTGCAACTGCTGTCTTGCAAGATTTCAATATAGTCAATGAAAAGAACTTAAGTGGTGTCATAGATAGCAGTAAATTACGTCGAGAGCGTAAAAAATATCGCGACTCAATCGTAGTCAGTAATTTTGCTTTATCTAATTTATACTTTGATGGCAAAAGAGATAAGTGCATAGCAAATATACAAATGGGCAAGAAAAGATATCGAAGAGAAAAAATTGAAGAACATATTACAATGTTAAGTGAGCCAAATCATGAGTACATCGGCCATGTAACTCCCGTTCAAGGTAGCTCAAAATACATTGTAGATGCAATGATAGATTTTTTTCAGTCGAATCGTATTTTCATTGATGGTCTTCAAGTAATTGGTTGTGACGGAACTAATGTGAATATTGGCCCAAAAGGTGGAGTTATTCGTTTACTTGAAGAAAGATTAAATAAACCCATTCACTGGTTTGTCTGTTTATTGCATCTTAACGAGCTACCATTTCGGCGTCTTTTCCAGCAGCTTGACGCTGTAAATGAAGAAGTTGGATTGTATACAGGACCTATTGGAAAATCCATCTTTAATACACCATTTAATGCCAATCTAAGTTCAACTGATGGAATTTCTTTCCAAAAATTAAAATGTGACCTGCCTGAGTTTAAATCTATCGAAGAATTAAGTTGTGATCAAAAATATCTATATCAAATATGTACAGCAATCAGTAAAGGTTACTGTGAAATTGATTTGTCGCGTCGTTATCCAGGTAATATTTCCAATGCTAGATGGCTAACGACAGCAAATAGAATTCTACGAGTTTATATTGCGACTTCTACTCCAAGTAAATCGCTTCAAATAATCACAAATTATATCATCAAGGTTTACACTCCCTTGTGGTTTGCCATTAAAGCTAAACCGCAGTGTACATATGGACCTCGCCATTTTTTTCAACTTATTCGATTGTCAAGATTTCTCGCTTCTAATCAACAAAAAATAATTGATGAAGTTATTCAACGAAATGCTTACTTCGCCCATCCCGAAAATTTGCTGTTAGCAATGCTAACTGACGATGATAAATCACTTCGTGAGTCTGCATTTGAGAAGATTCTGTTTGCTCGTCGATATATCAAGAGGATAAATGTTCGGCAATTTAAGATTCCAAAGATAGATTTCAATGCTGCGAGTTATGCAGAAATGATTGACTGGCAGAGAGAAGCAATTACTGAGCCACCTCTGACCATGCCTTTATCAGAGTTAGAACTTCGTCAAATCGTGGAAACAGGTGATGATTCTCATTTTGATGCTTATCCATGCCATATGCAAGCAGTAGAACGAATAATTCGATTGGTGACGGCAGCTTCTACATCAGTTTATGGGTATGAGCGACGAGAAGGTTTAATCAGATCGACTTTGAAATCTAGAAAAATTACTAAGGGCTCGAGAAAAGCTGATTTCAAGTGCAGGTAATCTTAGTACCGCCTTAACTAGAAGCTAGAGCCTAGAGTTTTGTTGATTGTACCGTGCAAATTAATACTGCTATGGAATGAAATTATAAAACAACCTGATTGAACAGTAATTTACTAGAATATTTGAATTATATTTAAGGATACCATACTGCATCTATATAATTTCACATACTGAAATAGTAAACAAATACAAAAATTAAAGGCAAGGCCAAATTTGAAGCTAACTGTATTGAATCTACATTTTGGAGGATAATTAGTTATGGTGTATCTTTCTTCAGAAGTGACCGCTAACTCTAGGTTTCCTCTATCGAAAGACTTAAGCTACTGCCAAAATGGCCATATTTGTTTGTTTCTTTATTTGGGAGTCAATATGTTCCTGAAGTATAGTAAGAAATTCATTATAAGCATGATTATCCATCCCAACTAACATTTCGGTTTAAAAAGGTCGGCTTCTTAACCGATGTTGATAGATAAAAATTGCACAAAACAGCATTTATATTGTTATTGAGGGTTTGAGTATTAATTAACAGCTTTTAATATTATCCAATTTTCGTTAAATAAACTAAAAACTTAATGATATATATTACTATCTTGAATCACGCATGATAGCTGATTAAATAAAATTAATAATTAGTTGGTGTGACAGTGTTATATACTGTATTAGAGTAGAAATATTTATGTTAGGATAATTCTGTTAGCCTATCCTTATTTAGTTAACTTCTAATTTGGATATACTGCGTTTTAATATAGCATTGACTTTTTATGACAGTGACACATACACCCATACTGAAATTAATAGTTATAATAGGGAATGCAAATCATCTACTTACAGTTCGAATCATTGTGATTGTAACTTACTTATGGTAGATTGTAAACTATCGTGGAAATGTTTCGTGATAGGACATGTGTCACGGTACGCCGTTACTAATTAAGTAACTGTAAATTAATGAATGCTTATGAATAGATAAGATAAGGTTATGTGCTATGTTTTAATGCGCTTGTAGCTGATAATAGGATGATAGAAATGAGATAAAAATAGAAGTTGTTAGCAGTTAATTTACTGTAGGTTTATAAGGTATGTTAATCTCTAAAAATTGAGCTGTATATGGATGAAGGTTAAGCGTCTTAACACCTGATAGCTTGTAGCTATCTAAGTCTGAGAATATCGACATGTATATTTAGTAATGGTATTATACTAATTAATGTAACTTGTAAAGCATGAATTCTCTCTCGTTAATATTGGAATTCACTGTAGAAACCTATTTAAGCGCGTGTGTTTGTAGAATAAAAAAAGGTAATTGCTCAAGAAACGGCTAGGCTCATATCGTGAAGAATAGTGTAATAATTAGTCAGTTGTCTGTGGAGATCAGCCGAGAAATCGAGTTCTCAAATACTTCTCTCATAGAAACTAAAAGCACTGGGAGAAATAGCCCAAGTTTTAAGTAACTACACTAGAGTTCTTTACTTTCCTTTGCCACAAGTGAGGGTTGTGACAACATGTCGTAATCTGACTATTCTGCATTAGTCATCTAATGTCTATATTCGTAAATACTGTTGTCAGTATTAAGGGAGTCGTAGCTAAAACTAATATCTAATTCAGTAAATGATTCCAAAATTAATCGTACTAACTGTGACTCATGAGCTATTGAAGAAGAATATATAAATGCAGTATATCGTGTAATAAAGTAGATTCTCAAACTTAGAGTTTAACGTAAAATACGAGGCGTCAAAGTCTTTGTGTAGTCTGCTAGTAGAGCAAGAGGGTTTTTGATAGTGCAGATATCGTTCCTTGATACGTAATTCAAGGAATTAACTTATTGATCGTACATTACATTATCTTGTTGCAAAGCTGTTTTGTGACAAATACATTTTAGGAAAAGTGAAAGGATTACTTTTAATTAATTTTTAATTAATATTAGGTATCTACTTTCAATCATAAATATCTATCTATTTTTGTACCCTCATATAACAAACTAAAAGTCGAATCGTAAATTTAAAACTGATAACACGAATATGAGAATTTAATAATTAATTTAAAATAAATCTGTAATATAATTGTTTATTATTTACAGATGTTGTAGCGTTGTTAAGCCAAATAACGAATTCGACAAGCTTCGATTTTATTTCCACTGAGATATCTACTTCGTACCGAAAGTAAATAGTGCTACTCTTAATTTTTTCGAAAAGCGAAATTGTATCAAAGCTACGTAGTATAGTTACCGAAGCCATGGTTACAATTCGGTCGTAATGGTATTCTTAAAGTAGCCATCCGATAGTGTTTGAATTTTGTTAAGGTTGAGGCCTCTGTAATTGTAGATTATTCCGATACTTTTTGAATACTTTTAGTAGAAGTGCAGAATACAAAGCAATGTAACTGGCAATATATTTTTACTTAGTACAGTCTGCACTATCACGAGATGTGAATATATAGAGAACTATAATGATTTCTCGTAGAACTTACAAATTTTCTAGATATGGCAAGTTTTTAAAATCGTTTTTCGCCAATTCATGAATATGGTTTTCGCTTAGGATTCTTTAGTAATAGTATTAATAGCTTTGATTAGGCGAATCTTGAACGTAGAACTGAATTTATTTAAGAAAATAATGTATTAATAGATATTACTAGTACAAATTCACGTCGCTTTGCTGACGGTTTACGATAATTTACTTATTTGTTAATAATTAACTGATAGTATTACCATTCGATATTATTTATATCCCGGTAATAGCTAGGCACTACTATATTCACAGCTATGCTTCTAGAATACCACTTTTCAACAATGCATTCACGGATGAAATGCTATATTAAGATTAGTTAATGGTGCAAAGTACATAATTCATTTATTTAATTTGATTGTAATACAACAACTTTATGATATTTCTTGAACAAACCTAGTACCGTTAGAACATATCATTTTTTTCCCATGTAGTTTCAAGCTGTTTTATTTTTCAGTAGCAGGATAAGCTTGTGTTCTAATTACTCGCTAACAAATTTTTAAGACTTTTATAGACCTTATAAAGTTCATGTCTCTTACATGATTTTTAAACAAATTTCTGTAGGCAAAACTAATTTTAATAGTTAAATTATCGAGTTATTGAAATCAAAAATCAATTTCTTTAGAGTGTGTCTATCGTACTTTTTACTTCATTGTCATTTAATACAGCATGTATTTGTTTAGAAGATTCTTCGATATATCTTTAATTTGCCATAACTCTTTTAATAGACGATGTTATTACATTCCTTTGCTAGCCCTCACTTTGCGCTAAAAGCGCATTGCAACTCGAAGAAAATATGGACACTTTTACGGCTTTATCAGTGTTACGGAGCCATGCTCCGAAATATTAATTGCTATGTTAATTAAAATATCTCATTCAAATTATTGTTTGCTCCAGTAGCTTATTAGATATTAATGTTTATTAATAAGTACTTGTTATTGCCAAGGTATCAGAAAGTTCAATATTGTTGACGAGTCGGAGCTAATACGCTTAGTCAGTAAACGTTAATTAATAATACCTTAAGTGTAAGTCGCTATGTCAAGAATATTCACACGTGTACCATCGGCGTTGGCCGAGACTATAAAAAGCCGAGCACTAGCTTAGCTGCTCAGTTCCAGTCAGTCATTTGCAGGATCTTTTGACTAATTATTGCTAAGAATATTCTTACGTTTTTCTTTAGTACATTTTAAGACTAAGTTTAACGTTAATAAAGTGAAGTTTTTAAAACTATTACTCATTAGTAGCTTATTTGTGTAGCTGACAGTTAGTTCAACTACGGTAGGTCTCTAAGTTAGTTGGGAACACGAGTACTAGTGAAGATGGTGTTTAAGACCCGATTTCTTCTTACAAAGGAGATTTGTAATATCAAGTAATTCATAAATTGCTTACTTTTAATTTACCGTTACTATACGTATCTTTCAATAAAATATTAGATTTTTAATAAATTACTTGCAAAAATTATATAGTATCGGACAGTTTAAATTTAAAATAATACTGTGTCTAATAGTCTAAAAAAGACTGCAGTCACCTATATTGGGAGCAGATTAAGTTACTTTTGTTGCCTGCCATAGTCATGTTATACAAGACCGATTATATCGGACACAGCACGAGATAACCCCACAGCATTGAGTATGCATGCCAATGGACCGCAAATAACTAATGAGCTACTCATTATTGAGCCGGGCCTAATATTTTCTTTCTCAGCTATCTTATTCGTCCTTAAAATTATAATTGACATAAAATTAATATAACTTATCATGCTTCATGGCAACAGACGTGATATCTCGGACGGCCTTAAATGTATTAATAAGGAAAATGCTAATTTTCAATCAGTAAGCTTACCGTAGCTGGTTATTATGCAATAGCTAAAGTAAAATTTTATCCAGTTAGGAAACCCTTAGGAGCATATATCTCTAAATCTGAGAATTTTCAATGCTTTGTACACCTTTACTTTCTTATAAGTTAAACACTAAACTTAAGAATAAACTATGCTATACGAAATTTTAGGTTCATATACGTTTTTGCGATAGCTATGTGATATAATTAGAAATAACCACCTTCAAATAAATCGATTTAATAATTGATAATTTTATTTACAATTCTCTAGCCATCGACATGATAAAAACAAGATAGTAAGATTAATATATTCTTTCACAGAACATTCTCGAGATTGTATATAGTCTACTTGTAAGTTAGTTAAAATCATGGTAGTTCTAGATGCAGGTGCATCGTGATGAATAATCATCATCATTAATTTATTACATACTATGTATCGTGGTTTTTCCATGTCACGAAGTCCTTAACTCCATATTGCCATAGACTGTGATTGTATATTGCAATCACAATTAACTGAAATTATTACATAAGTTAATCCAAGCTACCATATACGGTCATTAATTTTAGCGCCACTGATTGCAATTAGAAAATGCTATAAGATATGCTAGTTAACCTAAATTAAAAGCTATCCGAACAAGACCAAGCTAACAAAATTACCCTAACGTAAGC